GTTCATGGCACGAACGGTCATCGTCTCGGCGCACTCAGTGATAAGGTGTTCTGGTGTTTCCCCATTTTCCCCACAGAATCTGCATTCGCCGTTGTTTCTCAGCTTCAGCCTATTGAGGTGTTCGTTGAGGAGACAGTGTCCTGTTAGAAACCCCGTGGATAATCCGAAGATTGTTTTTACTTAAATCAAGGTAAATCTTTGTTTTTTCTCGATCGTGGTGAGGGGGGGGGGTTAATCATTGCGACCTTAAAGATCTATTGTGTCCCTAATTTATTTCTCGGTCGTAAGTTCTGAGGAACTTTTTCGAGTGTCTTAGACCGTTGGAGGACACCCATTCCAGGTTGCAGATGGAGTCTTCCAGGTTCTTCAGTTCCGCTTTCAGTTGGTTCCCGCTTGGAAAACAGAACGGTTCTGGTCCAGTTAGTGTAGTGTTCGCTCCTTTTCTAGCTAGATCATTTGCTTTCTCATTGCTTTCTATCCCTTTGTGAGCAGGCAGCCAGAGTAGGAGGACTTTATTTTATTTGCCTAATTTGTTGAGCTTCTCTAGGCATTCGCCGTCTCGACAGAAAACATGAAGTAAGTTAGAGATGGACGTTGCTACAGCATACGCAAAGAGGTGAAACAATGAACTCGGGTATTGCAGATCATGTGTGGTCCAAGCCCCACAACATAAAATGGTCGGAAGTCCGGGTTGTCCACAAGGAACCGCATTGGAAAAAGCGCAAATTCAAAGGCCGTATTCATTTCTAACAATAATAAAACCTTTAGCAATCCAAGTATGGAAATTTCAACAATATGGCAACCACTCAAAAAACGCTCCAATGCAGGTATTCTTAGTGGAAAGCCTCATGCTTTACTGCACCCAATAAATTCACGGGTGAATACTCGGCTCTAGTATACAGGGTGGTCCGAACTGTATTCCGGAAACTTCGGCAGCATATTCTCCAGATAAAAATAAGTGAAAATGTTTGTATAAATATATGTTCTAAAATGACTAGTTTCGGAGATACAGGGTGTAGAAATTTCATTTTTATTTCGGTTTTATCCAAATTCTGAAGTAACTTTAATAATTGGATGAAAATTGGTGTCTGGGAGTTTTTTGACATGAGAAATTTGATTTTGAAGTCAATATGACTCCTATTTGTAGGGGGCGCCACCTATATGTGTTTTAACTGTTTTGAAGAGAAATAATTTTTCGTCCGTACGTGTATAAAACTGCTGACTGAAAAAATATAAATTTCCGTGACTTTTTACTTAAAAAATGTCTCTTGGTAAAAATCGCTACGAGCAACCGTTCTCAAGATATTTAAAATTGAAATAGTCAATACATGTCATTATTGACAAAAAATTAACACGTTGAGTAGATATTTATTTGACTGAAATAATATATTCCGGAAATTTTTATTTGTTTTCAATTAATCATAAATTTCAGAAACTTCCTTTCAGAGGAAGCGGAGCGTCCGCGACTTCGAGCAAGTACCATGAGTTTATATGAACGATTTCACAAGGGTCGTGTATACTCCGTTGGGATGAACTATATATATTGAAAAAACATCCACGCGTACGGTCCGCTCCATCTGAAAGCGCTGTAAAACGGTTTCTGTTGAACTTTTGGCACAAAAACATTTCAAATTTACAATTTCAGTCTAGTAACTATTTAGGGTGGCTGCAACAACCTCCCGTAATCATGCTGTTAAAACATAACAATTGGTTTTTATATGTAAAAACCAGTTGTTTTGTTTTAACAGCAGGATGACCGGACGTCATTGCAGCCACACTTAGTCAACATGTTTAATTTATGTACATTATACATTATGACAGGTATTGATAATTGCGATTCCAAATATATCGAAAACCATTACTCGTAGCGATTTTTGCAAAGAGGCCTTTTTTACGTAAAAAACGTTGTAAATGTATATTTTTTACTCGGTAGTTTTATACAAGGTCCGGACGTAAAGTTATTACTCTTCAAACCAGTTAAAAACATGTAGGTGGTGTCCTCTAAAAGTACGAGTCATATTGACATGAAAATCAAATTTCTCATGCCAAAGAACTAGCAGACACCAATTTTCATCCAAATATTGACGTTACTTCATAAATTATCTGGAAAAAATCGAAATAAAAATGAAACTTCTAAACCCTGTATTTCCAAAATTAAGCATTTTAGGACATACATTTATACGAACTTTTTTACTTATTTTTATCTGCAGAATACGCTGCCGAAGTTTCCGGAATACAGTTCGGACCACCCTGTATCAGCTCTGTAGTTTTAGGATTTGGTTTAGTTCACACTTGATAACGGTCAGTGATACTGAAGCAACTACATTGTGTAAGCAAAACAAATAAAGACAATGGAAGTCCGAAATTCTTTTAGTTTTAATAAAACCAAAATTGCAAGGATGTGAGGTGGCTACCCCATCGTTGCGCTCATGCGTTAGGTCATCTATAGAGCAGTTTTAAAAATATTTCAGAAACGTATTTTTGATAGAGCGTTCTCTGTAGATTATACGTATTTCTTCCCATTTCAGCAAATTTCAACCGAGAAGCAGTAAAAACTAAGCCCTATAAGAGATTTTACGCTCTACGTCCACCGTATATCCGTAAAGGAGGTAATAAAAATTACTGAAAAGACTATAAAAGTCTTCGAATACATATATACAACAAAGTTTATATACGCCAACTGGACCGGACTGTAAAGCAATTCTATTTGCCGCGTCCAGAATAAGGTGGAAAATTCTAACAAGCTAGCCCGGCAAACTGTGTGTCGCAAATCGTAAAAGGTGGCGAAAAAAATATCGTTGAGATGTCCAAAAGTATCGATATTCAAAAAAGATCGATATTGATGTTTTATAGTCAACCAATGACATAAGTAACATACAGGGTGGCGCCTCTCATAGGACGCGGAGGCTCCAAGGAGAACGACAGTTTGTATTGAACTGAAGTTTTATGATCATGTGTAGGTTAATTCAAAGCACTTTTTAAAATTAGAGTTCTACAGGGTGTCCCCAAAAAAGTTTTTTTTGTAATGGAACATGTATATTAATTCATTTTCGGATTCCATGCGAAAAATCAAGGTCAGTTTTATTAAAGAAGTATATGACGAAAAAGTAAGGTTTTTGACATATAGCATTTTCTGAAAATAAAGAACAATTTTTAAATTTCAATAAAAGCTACCTAAATTGGAATTTTTCCGGTATAGTCTAATATGTAGTTAAAACCTGACCCAAAAAGTTATACAGGGTGAAACAAAATTAGAATTAAACATTGGTCACCTTAAAGCAAGTTACTCTTTTATTTTAAATGGAATACCCAGTATATAGGTAATTCCCATATTCAATGGGGAATTCATCTTTTTTCAAAATACTATTATGGTTGCCTACCCCCCAAACAAATATTTTTCTAGATATTTTCATTTTTATGATTTAGTGTCAGTAGATCTTTATTATTTGATAAAATCTAGGGTGGGCTGTGCTATGTCTGAGTTAATTATACTTAAACAACATAGCTGTCTAATTAGTCCAACTTTAACAACTAGTTATCATTTTGTATCAGTTAAAACAAAACAAATTTTCAGAAATTTGCCGAAAATTGAAACTTATCCTACATCAGAGAGAAATGATATGATTTTATTAGTTAAGTAGTGAATGTAGTGTGCATTCACCAATTAATATAATACTTAAATGCTCCTGATTTTATCTAGTCTGTGCTTTTTATGGGATATGTTAAAGACAGTGTTTGCAAAACTCGACCAACTATTGTCGACAACGAGAGACATGACTGTAGCTGTTTTTCGAAGTAGAACTCCCTATACCTTTTAAAACTGCCTATACCTTTTAAAATGAAAAGAACTTTTGAACAGAGTATCATGTTATGCAGTGAATACGGAAAGAAGCATTTTGGACACATAATTACACGTTTATATCTAGTTTTAATTCTGTAATTAAAATATGTTTTAAACGTGTATCTTTTTATTATCGTTGAGTATTTTACTGTACATCCTTTAATTTTTGTTAAATTAACAAAAGGCAGATCACAGCCACCTAGATTTTATCAAATAATAAAGATCTAATGACGCAAAATCATAAAAATGAAAATATCTAGGGAAATCTTTGTCTGAAGAGTAGGCAACCTTAATAGTAGCAAATTAATATTATTAAATTGTGAATTCTCCATTGAATGTCGCAATAATATACTGGGTGTTCCATTTAAAGTAAATGAATAACTTGCTTTTAAAAGTGACCGATGTTCCATATTAATTTTGTCTCACCCTGTATAACTTTTCGGATCGAATTTTAATTTGGTTTAACATACAGTGGTTATTATAGTTAAATATCAGGCTATACAGGCTAAATTAAAATTTAGGTAGCTGTTATTGAAATTTAAAATTTACTCTTCATTTTCATAAAACGTGAAATATGTCAAAATCCTTACAATACAGGCATATGCTTTTTTTAATAAAACTCACCTTTATTTTTTTCCTAAAATCCAAAAATCAATTAATATATAGGGTGATCCATTACAAAAAAAAACACAACTATGATGTGTAACTTTTTTTGGGGACACCCTGTGGAGCTTTATATATTTTTATAAAATGGTATCAATTAACCCACATATCTCCCAAAATTTCATTTTGCTATAAACTACCGTTCTCCTTGGAGCCTCCGCGTCGTGTGAGAGGCGCCACCCTGTACATATATGCCTATAACCTATATTTTAAGAATTGTGATGTTATTAAATTTATTTAATGCGCCTTTGCCTATAAACAGAACGAATGAATTATAAAGGTGGCAAAAACCACATAGATATGTCGAAAAGTATCGATATTTTAAATGTCGATTTTCAAAATTTTTATCGATATTGATATTTTTCGAAAAGCGTATAACATATTGCCTGAATTATCCGTTCTATATTTAATTAGCTATGCTGTTATGCTCAATTTATTTTAATGTTGTTTTAGCAAATCAACCTCGAAATCAACTAATTTTGTTTTTTTATTTCAGGTTGTCCAAACTGTACCTATACTAAACCAACCGAATTACTACGTTAAAGAAAACAAAATTGTGTTGTGATCAAATAAATTTTAAGAATATTAAGTATATCTATATGTGTTAATGATGTAGCTCATACAAATCAATCAACATCCGTCTTGAGTGATACTATCTTCGTCCAAGGTCTCCAAACTATGTTCCATCACATCCAATGTTATTGCTGTGACCGCCACGTTGCCAGACTTGTGATTTTCTCTCGATAGGTTTCTTGGAAACGATGGAACATACGTTTGAAAATATTGTTAAGTAAAATTTAACGAAAAATATTGAAATCCACCCGAATTCTTGCGTCTCAAAGGATCAAATTAGTAGTAAAGAGATGTTCTGTTCTTCTATTTAATAGAAATATACATATATATTTTCGTCTTGTATAAAATAACATATTTGTAGTTAAGATTACACTAAGTTAGGTACCTAATGTAGTAAAAGTAGTGTATTAAATGTTAAAAATAGGTGTGATGGCAATTAGGTGATTGATAAATGTTATTTAATTTAAATTCGATATTTAGAACAATGATTCTTACTTAATTTTTCGAAAATAGTGAAGTGTTATGGATTCATTTGATTCCAAATTACTTGTATAATATATTATATAGTATATTTTATTTACTGTGTGAGCCAATATCGTCAAAATGAGGGTTGCTTTTGTTATACTTATTAGAATAACATTTTATTACGGGGAAGTGTTTTATTTTACTTAAAGTCCATAGCTCTGTCAATCATAAGTTTCTGACATTGACAATTTTTTTAAGTTCTTGGTAAAGCATCAAATATTTTATGAACCTTGTATAAGAATCATTATTTTAAATAGAATTAATTACTAAGTATAATATACAATGTTTGTCTATTTTTTTAATTAGAGTTTAAAATAGATCCATCACTCTGTGTTTTATTCGATTTGACACAGGCACATTATAACATTAACCAATGTGTTTAAATTTTTCTTCATATGTGTCCTACCAATGTAATTTTAGAAAATATTTAAATAAAATAAATAAAATATACAAATTAATGTTAGAAGACATGTGATTGAAGGTGTTAGAAAAATGCTAGATACTTTTAAGTACTTATACTGGGTGCTACAAATTCGGGGTACGAGCAATGGTATCTCGGAAACCGTAATAGATAAGAACTTGGTTAAACTTGGTTAAAATTGCGCCTTGGGATGTTTGCCAACATGCCGTCAAAAAAGTTCGATGTTCATTTCCATTCCCAAGCCAACTGGACGTCGTTTTTTTTGGATCATACGGTAGTTTCTGAGATACATAGGCCAACTTATTTTTTTTTTTAAATACGGACCTGTATTTTTTATTTCAGATTTTGAAATAATTCCGTCTCCTTCCTGAGTACAACGATATGTCACACTTATTTTTTTGATATTTTAACGTCAGTATTAAACATTTAAACTAATTTGAAATCCTGCTCTGTTTTTTTTTAATTATTTAACGTTATTATATCCGTAGTAACAGTATTGATGAGCGCTAATTAACATTGAGTAAGAAAACACGAACCGATTGAAAGATTTAATTAAATCTTATCCAGGTCAGTATTTTAAAGATATTATTTTTAACTTTTTGTATTATGAATTGGAAATGCCAATGTACGATCTGATAATATGCATGATATTAATCGTAATTATTATAAATAAATCAACTTCTTCAAACTAGTTTCTAATGTTCTACATTTTCGAAAGCATTACCACCCTCCCTAATGCACAAATTTATTTCTTCTTCAATTTTACTTGTACCTAATATATAGCTCTTTCAAAAGATATTCTTATAATTCGAAATGTATTTTCTACTCTTTATTGTGAATGTTGGGGTGTATTGATTTCACTTTTACTATGTTTAATTACTGTGTTTAAGTGCCTAAAAAATAAGTGTGGCATATTCTTGTACACAGGAGACCGCATTCTTTCAAAACCTGAAATAAAAAATGCAGATCCGTATTTAAAAAAATTAAGTTGGGCAATGTATCTCACAAATTATCATCTAATTTGAAAATCTAGGTAATCCTTGATAAAAATAGGTAGCCTTGATAAAGTGACTATGAGTATGTGCAATTAGTTTTTGGATTTTTTAAAAATTAACGACTGGAAAAAATATTTCCGAATATACCGGGTGCGTCTGAAAAGTGGCTCACACCTATAATTTTTTTATTTTTTCAGTTAAAAAAACGAGATTTGGCACGTTAGTATATGACATAAATTAGGATTGATTGACGTAATCAATTGTTTTCGGTCACTTCCTGTTTTACCGGAAATGACTACAACTTTTGATATTTAAATGGCACCCTCGGTATTTTTTTACTTTATTCGAAATAAAGTAACACTTTGAATAGAATGACATATCATATGTCAACTTTTGACATTTTGCCATATGGTGTATTTGAAATAATAACTTGCGGTGCGTAACAAAAATTTGACTCGAAATACCAAGTGTGTGGTATCAAATTATTCGTAAAAAAATGCTTTTCCCAAATATGCTAATGAGCCACACTCGTTCCATTTGAAAAAATTGAGATATGATTAAAAATACGATTTGACATTTTCTAACTGGTCAGGACAGGGCACTAAAAACATTAGACGATCAAATCTATTTTTTCAAGACAAGTTCATTTTAAGCGAAAATGTTAAAAGTTGACATATGATATGTCATTATATTCAGATGACATTTTCTATCGAATAAAGTAAGAAAATACCGAGGGTGCCATTTAAAAATCAAAAGTTGTAGTCATTTCCGGTGAAACAGGAAGTGACCAAAAATAATAGAATACGTCAATCAATCCTAATTTATGTCATATACTAACATACCAAATCTCGTTTTTTATCTGAAGAAATAAAAAAGTTATAGGGGTGAGCCACTTTTGAGACGCACTCGGTAGCTCAGCAATCCTTGAAATTTTTATAACTTTTGACGGCATATTGGCGAACATCTCAAAGCGCAAATTTGCCCCAATTTAACCATGTTCGTATCTATTACGGTTTTCGGGATATCAATGCTTGTACGACGAATTTGTATCACCCTGTAGTTAACTTTAGTACTTTTGAATCTGCGATTTTGAAAATTAATTATAGGTTAGAGTAAAACTCTATACAATAAATAAGTTGTGATCTACTAAAAACTATGCCAGAGTAGCGTTTAAATGGAAACTGAAATGCTATTTATACGCTCACCACGACTGTTTTTTATTCGATTACAACGCATTCTTTCTAATGTATAAATACTTCTAAAAATAAATGTTTCTTAAAAGTGTTTACTCGTGTTAAGTACGTCGACACTAAAATTAATGCTCAATTTTTTGTTAATTTAGTGTTTAAGAATTTGATATATTCACATCTGTCAATCAGTATAAATAAATCAAAGAACCTTTTTTGTTTTGTCAGAGAGAATTTATATTAATTTTAAGTGATAACTGGGGGTAGCATAAGAGCCAGTTATTGTAAATATTATTTTTGTAAATGTAACAAATATTTTAGTTTCCTTTTTGATAGATGTGTAACTCCTATAAATAGATGTTTTACGAATGTATATCCTAGTTTAGACCTAAGAAAATAAACAAAAATATAAGGGAATAGTGTCCAATCTGGCGTGTGTATCAAATACATGTTTACAGATTATTTTTTGTTTTATTTCAATGTAGTTTGTTGAAACAATAATACCGTAATAATTAGTAGTACCGTACTCGTGGAGAAAATTGCCTATAATTTCATAATCGACGTCTTTAAGTTAGATTGTAACTAGTTTTTGAGGTATAATTACTAGATATTTTACCAAAATATGTAGTAATTATACCTCATAGTTTATGAATTATCGCTTGTCAAAATTCTTTAATTTCGACATTGACTCAGTTATAATGGAAGGAAAAAATAACCGCTACCACACTCGACTGGTTTTCCAGTCGAGAAAAAAGTACAAAACTAGAATTAATCGAAGCGGTCTCTTCTGACTTCATTTATATATCAATGTACCAACAATACTTGAAGGATTATGAATTTTTGCTAGTCAAACTTCTTTAACTTCACAAGTCACTCTAAAAATAAAATATGTGTAAAACTGACAAAAACATGATTTTGAATAAGCATTGGTAAAATCATGAATTAAACGTTTTTAAAGTTGATATTTAGATTATAACGAAAGTCGGAAACACAAGTTGTTAGAAAACTATTAATCCTAAAAAAAGAAATGAGATCCCATCAAAAACATAGACTGTAAAAAAATGCCAAGTCTCTCAACATAATTCGTCCACTAGAAAAGGTAAGAGATCTCACGTAAAACCAAGTCAGTTTATTTTATTTAGTCTCTTTTTAAACACCTATTCAACAATTTTTTTATAAATTGTTAGTAACAATATTAATCATCTTTATTTCTGTAATAATTATAATGATTTGGCAATTGCACGATATGATATTATATTCTAATTAAAAAACTCTATTTTTAAGGGCACTGTCTAGATTTACTTAGTCTTAGTAATCAAAATGGCAGATTATTCTTTTATAACTATGGTGCTGTGCAATTTCCAAGTCATTATAATTATTACAAAAATAAGGATGACTAATATTGATACTAACAATTTATAACAAAAGTGTTGAATAGATGCTTAAAGAGAGACTAAATAAAATAAACTGACTTGGTTTTATACATGACATCTCACAACTTTTTATAGGGAGGAATTGTGTTGCGAGACTTGGCAAATTCTAAATTCTAATCTCTTTTTAAATTCTATGTTTTTGATGGGATGGACCCCATACAGCACACTTCGTCCCAGGGACGTACATTTTATGTCCATTTTACGTCGGTACGTCCCGGGACCAATTAGGGACGTACTATGTACGTACAAAACATGTATCATCATTGTAGTACATGTCTTTTGTACGTACATGTACGTACATAGAACGTGCCCCATATACGTACTATTTACGTACATTGTAGGACTTCACTACGGACGTACATGCAGTACGTAATACGTACGTATCTTGAAAATTTTTGAAAACGCATTACAAAATGTTATTTAATTTTAATATCATGACTGGATTATTTTGGTCAGATATACCCAATAATAATGAATGGGCTGGATCAGTGGATCTTTTCTAGGCTAACGTTAATTCAAGTCACTCTAACCTACCTCTACTTCTTTTATTAATAAATCTAACCCGACCGCTATAAAAATGATTTCCTAAATTATACAATGACCAAAATGCATAACAGCCTTTGAAGAAATCTGATGGGGTAAAAATGCAATATATTATGCAATCAAGCCTAACAGGAAAATTATGCAGTCCTATGTTTAAATTTCCCGCTAAGTTATTCGTTCACATTCGAGTCTTGTCGGAATCGGAAGTCGGGCGGTTTCTAATGGCGTTTTCGATTGGCAGAGCTAAAGCGCACGTGCGCACTCAGTGTAGTTCCATCTTTTATTAATCAACGTAAAAAATAAAAACAACAATACACTGAGTGCGCACCTATCCAGTTTTCGATTGTGTTGTGAGACACTTGTGTCTAGCCCTAGCAGGCAACTATTAAGCCCGACCAATCACGTTAGAGTTTTTGACAAACACAAATGAATTAACACCCTTCAAATAACCACGCTAACCAACCTGATTGGTCAAGCTTAATAGTTGACCGCTAGGGCTAGACACTTCTTTGTGAGACTGAGAGTGGGTGCCATGTATCATGGTGGCCGCAGGTTGTTTGGCTTCCGCCTTGTTTTCTTTTGTCGTTGCCTTCGTAGCTTGTTGTTTCAAGGTAAGTTAAAGTGTAATAATATAATGTGACTATTTCACCTAGCACAGTCACAACCTCGAATGATTGAGAATCGGCTCATTCAATTTTTTCAAAACAGAGGCAAGAATTAGATATTTGAATACTTAGTTTTCTTTTTGTATTTTTTAGTTAGAAACAGTTGGAGAATAAAAAAAATAAAATATCTATCAACATCCAATAAAAGATAGAGTGCGCTAAGGGTGTAGTTGCGGGACCGAAGCCAGACTCACGGGTGTATCAAGACATAAGGGATGACCATGTACCTGAGTTTTTATATTAATAAATATTTTAAGCTCACTTCCATTGAATTATTTCTAATTAAATTCCTAGATCGTATACGTCGTTGAAAAATGTACGTCCATAGTACGTACATTGTACGTACTTTCGATCATTTTACATCCAGTTTTGGTCCGGAACAAAACATAAAATGTACGTACCTGGAATGTACGCACATGCGACGTACATAGTACGTTCTTTACCACATCCCAGGGACGTACCGGGGACGTACATAGCGTTGGAAAATGTACGTC